AAAAAAATTCAGAGATTAATGTTATGGGTAATAGGAAAAGTTAGACAGCTATCCAAATTTTATGGTATGCCATTTGTTTTAGTATTTCTAGTTTTAGCTATTTACCATGCTTATGTCCTTTAAATTGCTTTTTCATTACTGTCAGTGATGGGGCCCATTCAGATGACTACATAGGCCTGGAATAAACGGCTCAAGTGTAATGTGCTAGAAACTTCTTGCTTCAGAATGAGGTTGCTGGTCCATTATGTAAATCAGTGTCAGAGAAAGACTAACTCAAAAAACCATGACTGTAACAGCTAAGTTGATTTAATGAGACATCGGAAAACTGCAGGAAAAATAATATCAAAATTCTAGGAGCTGGCAGGGCCACCCTTGGCATAAGACGCCTAAAATTTTGCAGAAAGTGATAGAAAACACCTGTTTCCACAATGCACATATATTGTCCTTTTGACTCTAAGAGATTTGGAACACTTATGCAATAGAAATTGCCATACAAAATTTCTAAACTTAAAATTCCCTGCACGCTTCTACTGCATAAGTTAAAAATGAGGAAACCACAAGAAGGGGGATTAACTGTGAACCGGCATAAAGGTGATGGAAGTCTTCTAAAACTGGATTATGATGAGGGCTGCACAACTTAGTAAATTTACTAAAACTTACCAAAGTGTACACTTAAAATGGTTGAAATTTTACAGTAAATAAATTACACCTCAGTAAAGTTGTTATTGAGGTATAGATTTGGGGGTATAAAAACTTCAGGTGTTATTTTTTAGCTGAAACTAGAAGTTCAGCTAAAACTATGGCCCTCAAACACTAGAAAGGAGACATGGACAGTAATATCGGGAAGACAGAGGTCCTGAAATCCTGAGCCCTCCTGCTTGGACCAGTGTTCAGCAAGTTCCCAGGCTGACAGTGTATACCTGCTCACAGTTGAGATGTACAGGAAGGTGACAATGGAGCTAAGTAGCTAAATTACCACTTACTGTTTCCAGCCTTTCCTACACAGAACAAATTCAAAAAATAAAAAAGGGCAGAGGGATAAAGCAAAAAGGGGGCAGATTAAGGCAGACTTCAGGGAAATAAAAAATGTGACAGCTAATCTCTTTACAGTTCTTTCTTCTGGAGAGGAACTATGACCTTGGAACTGATTTGTGCAAACTAATTGGGCTCACTCCTCCAACAAAAAAACATATATATGTTCAAAAAACAAAGTTTCAAATTATTATTTTAGTTAGAATAGATTCCTTCTGAGAAGAACTGCAGAACCTTAATTAAGACATGAAACTTCCACTGGTAAAGGTAGGGAAATCAATATTTTTCTGAAACTTCTGCTTAAAAAATGGGGGTGTGTATGTGTATAAATGTTTCAAGACATTTGAAAATCGTAAGCTCTACTGTTTCTAGGATGATCCACAGCTCTTATGGATCTGAACTGAGAGAAACAAGCAACTGAAAGGGATCTACAATGGCTTCTCTACTTCAGGTGTTACTTTGATGCCCTTCCTAGATAGGAACCAACTGAGATACTGGTGCTGAGGGCAGCAGAAATCAACAGTACTCAAAGATCCTCAANAGGCAGAGGTCATTTTGCACTGCTTCCCTTCCTACCACCCCCTCGTATTTATTTAAATAAACTGCTTAATTATTGGGGGAATTTTTTGACTATTTCTTTTCATATGTGTTTTTACATTCAACAGGCAGCATTAAACAGGGGATATATTTCATTAGAGAAAACAAATATCAGGGGCAAGTTAGCAAAGTCCCAGGAGCTTAGGCACCATGCTAAAACAGTTAGTAAGAGATTTAGCACAGGAAATCAAACAAGACTAGAAAGGGGAAACACCCAGTTCCACAGCAATAAGGTGAAAGGAAACAACTGAAGACTGTGGAGGAGGAAGATGCAGATTTGGATGAAAATCTATTAAAATGCCTGACTGCCCCCCGCCAACTCCCCGCCAAAGAAAAAAGACTGGCTAAGTCTGACCCTAGCAAACTGAGGGCAAGGGGCTCTTCTCACATCACAGTACAAACATACAGTCACACAGTATATATGAGTACTCACAGATAGATATGCTGGGATTATTGTGACCCAGTTTCATTATTTATATCTAGGAGCAGGTAAGGCATGCAACCAGTCTCCAGTACAGTCAGGAAGGGCCAGGAGGGTATTTAAACAAAACAACAAAATGACAACTTTGGCATTGTAAAAAAAAA